ACTTTTTACCGTTTCGCTTTCGCATTTGAGATGTTTCGTATTTCAAATGTAAAAGTAGAAAACGGTTACATGTTTTCTACTTTTCTACTTTTAATTTGAAATAGAATTCAAAATTCGGTTTGAATGGCCAACTGCATATGTCATACAACCCATCATTATCCTTAGGCAGCTCTAGTTATCATGAACTTGTTATCTCTCTTGTTTATGATTTGGTCGTGCACTTGTTTATATCCTATTGCCAAAATATACTTGTTAGTTGTGGTGTATTTGGGCACTTGTTTTGCTTCGGTATTTCATTGAATTCAGACATAACGAATTGGTTCTTCCGAAATTCTAGATATTTCGTAAGGCCAACGAGTTCGACCGTTTTTATCCTTAGTATTAGGTGTAAATGACCATTAGTTTAGATTGCATACACATCATTATCCTTCGGCAGCTCATGATTACCTATATCCTATTGCCAAAATATACTAGGTTAGGCTTCTTCACATTCAGACGAACCATTTCTTCAGGCCAACGAACTGTTGTTCATTGTTCTTGGCCTCTTATTACGTAAACAGAAGTGCAGCAGGGTTTTCTCCATTTGTCGTGGTTCTGTCTTGCAATAAATTGTTTGCATTAACTCATATGACTTTTGGAATATGATTGCTTGCCACTGAACCCAAAACGGTAAAGCAGTTTTCGGCGCGTAAACATGCTCGCTCAATTTATGGCCTGATTCACTTCTTTTTTATTTTTCGGCTGCCAATAAGCGCCTGTTCGTTTGGGCTTGTTTGGCTGATAAGTCATGAGCTGAAAGTACTGTTGGTTGATTTGGTGTGAGAGAAAAATACTATTCATTAACTGAAAAAGTACGGCTTATAAGTCCAGCGAACAGGTGCATATTTTTCTTGCCCATTTTCCCGGAAGCATGTGAGAGCGAGCCTTTTTTTAAGAATGGACTCTACGCGTTTATTAAACAGTAGAGATTGTTTTACACGACAACCGACCAAAGAACATAAAAATGAAAAAAAAGAACACGACGATGAATTGAGATCTATTAAATTAAAGAGAGAGAGAGAGAGAAAAAAAATAACCCATGTCACCGATGAGCTAACTCCAACAGTTCGCTAAATAGGAAGGCCTATTTTTTTTATATGAATACACTTAAAAGAGTGCCTTGATATATTTTAAGAAAAACATAGGCTTGTATAAAAAATGAAAAAGAAGACATAACATGGCCTCTTAAATTAAGAGTACATCAAAGACCGGCCAATCAGTCATCTTCTTCCTTAGACTGTTCACTGTTTGTCTCTCGAAAATCGCACTAAAAAGACAATAAAGAAAAAAGGGACACGTACAAACACTCTCGCCGGACAAGGTTTTAAAGACTGCAAAAGCCATTGGCCACTGACAACGAGATCTAGTACCTACCAGATTGGACTAACGCTCTAAGAAACACAAGCTTACAAGCCTTCGCTATCAGAAGAGAGTGTTGGGATGTCAGACCTTACTGTAGAATGGACAAAAGAAGAGGTTGAAATCACCGCTTCATTGAAAGTCAACCAACTACTTCCCAATATAAGCACACCAACCGTCAAGGTCCGAAGAGAACCAACAAATGATCTGACAGACCATGCTCTCACTACTCGTCGACGCCAGAACGAATGACGTCGAGGTAGGAGAGGCTAGGGAGACCTTATTACAATGCATCATCATCATCACCGCCTCATCGATAACATCATAAATGAAACACAAAACCCTAGACGAATAAGGAACAAACCTAAATCTACGAAAGGGTTAGGTCCCCGCTCCTCTGATCACTGGTGAGATAGCTGGTTGGGAGAGAGGAGGGAGACTGATGCGGTTGCGTGGGAGAGGGCGGCACGAGGATGGGGACCAAGAGAGCCTTGCGGGAGGATAGTTTCTCCTAATACCAGGGAGGCCTAATTTCCTATTGGGCTTTTGGTAGGATCGGCCTATACTTGACGTGCACACTGCAGCGAGTCATTTTTGCACTGGTCCTTCATGCGCTCGATTGGTGTTTTTGCGATACGTTGGGGTTGCAGGTAAGGATGAAAACGGTCGGAAACGGTATTACAATATAGAAAACGGAAGCGGTCGGTCCGGGATATTTCTATATTTTAGTAATTAAAGGGTACAAAAAATTGTTGAAAATGGTTGTGAAGCCAATTGAAAATGACAAATTTTTATGTTTGGCGAAATTCGGAAATAGTATCATAATATAGAAAACGGTATCATAATATAGAAAATGAAAGCGATTGGTTCGGAATATTTCCGTACCGTTTTCATCCTTAGTTGCAGGTGTTGTCCCTTTCTTTGATACCTTTGGAGGTTCTGGCACTGCCAAATGTTGAAGTTTTATGGCTGCCACAACCTCCAAATGACTAGGTAGCCCAATGTTGAAGTTTTACGGCTGCCACAACCTCCAAATGACTAGGTAGCCCTCTCTTCGATCCATTCTCTAACTTACCAACCTTTTTTTAGTGTAACGTACCACTCTTTCTTGCATGCACATGTTAGCCTGTCGTACTACACAGGACGTGATCGCCATAATATAGCGCAAAACTATGTGCTTATACATAGAGATGGAATTATACAAGATATATAATTATTGAAATCTACTTAATAAATTATACTATTTGACTTGGGATTTAACATTCCACCACTTTTCAAAGTTCACATATAAGTCTATCTTAAATTCATAGGGTGGGAGATGTAAATTGATTGTATAGATCATCATTCTATGTTTCCACTTTATAACTTATAACACCCTCTTCATCTCGCTCTCGTACGATAGAAATGCAACACATAAGTATTTCTCTCGTATAGCCAACAATAATATATAAATATAATCCATATACAACCGTATTAGCTTAATTAATATGTGTCTAAATTATGATTATTAAAATAAATTCAATTTCAAGAATCTAAACGGGCCCTTAGTTATTTAATTTACCCATATCTTTTCGGTGGCTTCTTTGCTTGGGTGTGCAACATTTCCATAAAATAATTTCTAGACATAGAAAGTCCATCTCATATGAAAAGTTTGTAAGTTCGTTCGAATAATCACTTTTCTCAATGTATGCATAATGCGCACACCCAACTGGTGGATGATTGCTCAATAATATTATATATCCAAAATGCTAAACTAAGCACACGCTGCTTATTTGTGTTATCAATGTCCTATGCAAATTGTGTTTAGGATAATTGTTTTAATTAAACAACTAAGCCACATTCAGATATTTTTTATCTTACCATTGACGTGCTGCGTTCCAATTCAATTTTATTCATTCAAATATTTGACCATTTTCATATCTTATGCAATGTGCCACAAGGTTTTAGTTTTCCATGAATCCTTTGTTAGAGGCTACATGTTATACCTATTATAATTCACATGATATCCCGCGGCAACACGCCCGAGAATCTTTTAGTTTATATTAATGATGATTAGAGTCTACTAGAATTAACGGCTCACCATTTTTTCTAAAATTTTCTAGAATTTAGGGATGGGCTCATTAATATACTGCCTCATATAGGACTGCGTGATTTGTCAAAAAAAACACCCTCCTTTCAGAAATGATAATGGCTTGAATTGACGGTTACAAAGGTTGTACACAGTTATATTGACACCCCAGCTTCGTCGCGTCAGAATTCATAACCGTAGTTTCAAAAAAAAAAATCATAACAGTAGCGTCAACTTTATTAGAGGTAATTTTCACAAGAAAAGAACTACTCAATGAGTTAAACCTGACTAGTTAGAGAAAGGCTAATAATATAACCCTCTGCTGGTTGTATGTATATTTACAATCTACCTATCATTTCACTCACATAATAGTTGGCCTTTATAATTTACATTTTTTCTCAAGTTTTTTTTTGTTTTTTATGCTGATTATTCTTAATGAGGGTTTCATTTGCATTTAATAACTACGTGTTTTTTACGACATGACAACGTTTTTTAGAATAGAGAGAAAAACTGAGTTCCATCTTGGCATGTTACCAACTCTATAAGAATCATGAATTAAATGTATATGAAACTATATTATGAAATTATGCATTGCGATGAATGTTTCATTTTATTTTACATGATGTGGCAGCCTCGGAAACAATGACACGTAACTCTCCACTAAGAATGGCTAAGTAGGCTATAAGCTTATAGGCCGCATATCTTCTGTCTCCTCCACCTCAATATAAAGATCACATACAACCGTTACTATAGCTGGGAAGAGTTTCGGGCTCTATTTTAGGAAGAGTCGTGAAAGAGGAACCAAGCACATAAAAACAATATATTTATTTTAAAGATGACAAAAAAAATTCTTACAGTTATCTATATCTGAGAAGTGAAATTTTCCTATTTTCCACAAAAAAAATAACCACTTCTTGTCGAATTTCTGTAAAATCCCTGCACTCCGAATGGGTCTCAAGTCAGAAAGGAGTTGGCAGGTGCTACAGAATTGAAAACCATACATCTACTAGGCTTCTTTGACGAAGACGACACTGAATTGAAAGCCGTCTATATACTGAAGCTCAAGCCCCAGACATGACCTCTTCGTCAACAGAAGAAAGGGGATCAAACCAATTCCCACCAATGTAATACAGAAGCACACAACTATTGTTGAACTCAACTAAATCGAAAATTTGTAGATCTCAGGCAGTCCAAGTACGCTTCTGCCCCAAGGCAGTTATGGGCTTAAGCTACCATCCATCATTCCGAATCCATGCTTCCCGAAATGTTTTTGTGTACACCAGGTCGAACATGTGCTCGCATGTCCTAAATGGATTTCTTGGCACTCCTCATATATAGCCCTGTTCGTTTCGCTGAAATTTGGCTGATGCTGATTTCTTATGAGAGAAAAACACTGTTCCTTCGCCGAAAAGTTCTGGTGAAGTAATGTTGAATAATAGGGTGATGTCCAATCACTAAAATCGGGAAAACAACCGTGGGGACCTCCCCCACAGTATTTTGCCCTAAAAAACACTAAAATCAGGAAAACGTGTTATCATCTGGCTTCATTAACATATGAGCTCTCAATTTTCAGTGCATCATGTTCAGATGACTCAACCCAGAAGGGCGACAAGGATACCACTTTCCCGATAATTATTAGAGTTGGAGAAACTAGATCAGCTGACTTGACTTCATCCACAAGATCCTTTAACAAGGCGAACACCTGCAGTGTAAGGAACATTTAGGATCGCAAAGTTAGGTTAAAATTTAGTTTGTGAGGGCCTAAGAGTCACTACCGTTCGTTGTTGAGGTGTAGTCCCACGCTCTACTGCAACAGCAGGGGAATCTGGCGGCAGGCTATGCTTCATTAACTTTGTAGCAAGTGATGGAAGTGTTGACAAACCCATGTACACAACCAAAGTAGTGTTTGGATCAGCTGCATCTCCAGCTACATATAGTGGATCTGTCCCAACATTTCTGGAGTTGCCAGTTAAAAATCTGACACTGCAGCAAAGATTATATGTCAACAATTTATCCTAGTATAAGCACTTAAGAAACATTCTCTCTCTACACTACAGTGTCAGAGACAAACTAGCGCCTTTCTGTTCATTTAACAATGCAAGAGGGTTTTTTATTAAAAAAAATTGCTATTCCATTAACATAGCACATCAGAACTGCAGAAAATAGTACTGAGAATTTTTACTACGCAATGAGACATGTATGGTGAAACACGGGAACCATTTAAGAGTAACAGCAAGTAACTAGTACACTATAGCAAATAGCCAAATACTCAAAAGATCCATATGTAGGCATGCTAATTGTTGCATTTGAGGGAGTATTGCAGACCCTAAACAAAAAACTGATAGGAAATGGTGAAGCTTGTGGAAAAGTCATTTAGAAACAAACATTTACATATAAAGGAAAAATCCTTTCGCGCAAAAGTAGTTACTACTTAGAATAAAATTACAAAAGGCTAAGCATATACCTGGTAGCAACACCTTGATGGGTTAGCGGAATGCCTAGTGCTGCTGCAATTCCCGAAGCAGAAGTAATTCCTGCACAGTTTTGGAATTTAGAGCCAAAGTATTTCATAACTGCTACCAACCAACAATGCAAAGTATCCAAGCTAGTGCAATAGGATTATCATACCTGGGATAACTTCAACTTTGATTCCCTGTTGCTGTAAGAAATCCATCTCTTCTCCACCCCTTCCATAAACCTGAAAGGAATACAAGCAAATTTATTGCCCGCATGTAGAAGTGCAATTCCAGAGAGTTATATGTGGAGGGAAACAGTCTATGCTCACAATGATAAAAATTGCAATGTTGGTGCTACTTTTCTTTGCCTCTATTTTTTATTAGAAAAGGAACAACTGCACCCCTGTGGCTCTGGGATCCCTAAAATGGTACGTCCGCATGGAATTTACATGAGACGGTATAACCAAATAACCAATAAGAATAGGAATTCTTTTGAGGAAAAATGAATGAAAAAAATAGAAAATTTTAGAATCAGTACTTGCCACTATACAGATAAAACAAAGAAGTACAGGGCATAATTAAGTGGCATTGTTTTTCTCAGTTAATGCAAGGCTATAACACTTAGAATTGAGAAGTATTTCTGCAATGACAACTGAAAAGATTAAATAAGGACATGATTGATCTTCTACACTGCTGTGCAAACACAACAACTTAAAAATGATTGATCTTTTTCCATCCTAGCAATATTTGTCTCCTTCCAAGTACAAGAACCACATGTATCAAAGGAAAACAGGGAGGGTTTAATTTTTGTTCTTTTATTTATGATCTGCTGCTTTGATGAGTCAGATGTGACAACCATGACGTATTGGACATAACAGTACTAATCAGTTCTATGAATCCATCACTTGAAAATGACTTAAGCCGCACCCAGAATGGATCATCGTTTTAAAAAGTTAGTCCTCAATGTTTGATGACACTACCACTAGTAAAAATTTTCAGTCCGATTTTATCGTTTGAGCTTGGTTAACAAATGGAAGTGCCACAATAATCCTCAGGTGCTCCTTCTGTTCCGCTCTCTTGTAAATCACTTTGTTTCCTGACTCTTTTGGTTTAATATATTTTCTCTCTAGGGGCTTCGGCCCCTCCATTAAAAAAAACAATACTCCTCAGGTGCTAAGTAGATTTGAAAGCAAGAGCAAATTACCTGAGGATCGCCTGATAGAACTAATAGTATCATCTAGGTATAGATCTAGCAGGTAGAATTTGACTTAGGCAAAAAGAGCTTGTTGATGTTGTACCTCATCTCGAGTCACCAGTCGCGGCCATGGCGCCGGCGACGAAGTAGCAGCAGTGCGGGCCCGGTCTGGTGACGACGGTGAACGCGATGACGCTTCCCGTCACTCACAGCGCGCCCTCACGATCGGTCTAGGGTTAGGACATCGGTGGGGCGCTGGCCGCTGCAGCGAACCTCGTCCCATGTGCCCCAGCCCCCACCGTCCCTTTTATAGCACTACGCGACAGGGGCCCATCAGCCAGGATAACGGCTGGGCATCCCCGATCAGAGCGCGGATCAAGGGTCCAATTGGCCGTTGGATCAACGGGTGGAGATCAATCTAACATTCTCCTCCTTGATATCACCTTATGACTTAAACTTAACTTACTTTATCTTTTTTCCCATTCCATCGCAGATTAGTGCATAGAATGTGCCTCATCGTCACGGTCAGTTGCTATTAGATTAAACAGCTACAATGCATCTCTCTGTTTTAAAATAGATTCTCAACTAGGCCCTTAGTATCCAGAAATCATATGCTTTCCCATAAACCCATGTTGACTGTGTGTTCTCTGAATGCAAATGGTGGTTAGCCTTTGGTAAGCGGATACGCAAGTACTTGCTTGGTACTTATATGCTCAATGCTTTCAAAATGATTATGTATTTTCTCCTTTACAACATATAACTTAATGTCAATGTGTTTGGCAGCACACTTAACCTGTTGTCTTAGGAGTTAACTACTTTAAATGATTATTGCTGTTGACTACCATTGTTAAATCCGGGTACATATTCCCTTAACCACTTTTGCCTGTTCCTGCCATAACTGTTTCTTTAGAGCTTTTCCACAATAATACTCCAACTGCGAGTGCTAGCAACTATTGTGGATTTCACTACACATCTTGCTAAGACTTAACATTTTGTACCCACAACTATTTGAGAGTACTTGTTCTTTCTTACTGAGCATGAGGCCCATAATACTCTGCAAAATTACAAGATATTATTAACTCAATTTTAGTGATCTATATCTGGACTGGACTTCTGTCAAAATATCTCAGATACATAAGCTACGTCAAGGTAAGTTCTTACTTGTACATTCATTAAGCTTCCAACAGCTGAAGCATATGGAACCATGTTCATTTGATCGATCTCATATCGGTTCTAGGAACACTTAAAGTTCCCAAATCTATTACCCTTGACTATAGGAGCAGACGTAGGTTTATTCACATGCATACTCTATTTCTTTAGAATCTTTTTTAAGTATGCCTTTGCGATAGTCCTAATACCCCTTTTCTTCTGTTTCGGTGAATTTCTACTTCACCAAGATCATTTATATTGAAACTTGAGGACAAGAACTTCTTCTCTAATGACAGATTAACATCACTACTAGTGAGTAGAATGTTATCTATACACAGGATGTGGAAAATGAATTTTCCATTCTTGAACTTCGCATAAACGCTATTGTCCTTCTCATTTTCTTTAAACCCAAAACTTTCTCATTGTTTCATCAACTTCAAATACTACTGTCTAGAGACTTGTTTTAACCCATAAATGGATTTTTACAGGCGGCATCCCATACGTTATTTTTCTTCCACGATAAAACATTTGAGTTGTGCCATGTAAACGTTTTCATATAAATCCCCATTGAGGAATGCCGTCTTTACATCCAACTGATGTAACTCTAAATCGTAATGTGCCAATAACGCCATTATGATTCTAAAAGAATCCTTGCATAAGACTAGAGAGAAAACTCTCATCGTAATCTATTCATTCTCTTTACCTAAAGCCTTTTTTACAAGTCATGCTTTATATCTTTCCACATTCTCTTTGGAGTCATATTTTGTCTTGTAGACCTTTTTATAGCCTACTGTTTTGGCTCTATTAGAAATTTCTTCTAAGTCCCAAACATCGTTGGTATTCATCGAATTCATTTCAACTTCAATAGCTTATTGCCATTCAAACGAGTAAACGATTCTCATGGCTTCTTCAAATGAGGTAGGATCACCCTCTATTTAAATTTCTTTACTAACATAGACTTCATAATCATCAGAAAAACTGGTTTATTAATTCTTTGAGACCTTCTGGGGCCTCACCTACTGGCACTTTTATGTGGGGCTATTGTTGCTCTTTATTGCCAAGAGACAATTCATTCTATAGGCTCCTATATTACAAGATCATTGTTTATATTATTCATCTTCTTCGAAGAGCTAACAACAGGTGTTGTATTAGTCATACAACATCAACAGGTATTGATAAACTTGTTGCTCCTGAGTCACTGGAGTGGGCACGCAGTCCCTCTTCTCTTCAAGTCTTAGGTCTCTACATATCTCTACATACCATGCTCCCCCAGATCTTCCCATCTTTTCTAGTGTATCTTTAAATATCTTATTTTGGGTTTAATCTATAAAAACCTCATATGGCGCTTTAAGCGCCACCTTAACATCTTTGAGGCTGACTGCGCTATCTTCCTGTCTGACCTTTAAAAGGTCCAAGAATTTAGCTATTTCTCTGCTTAGGGGTATCACTGTTGTGACCGTTGTACTCCTCCAACGGTCCCATTCATCTTAATTAATCTTTATCTCACTCTTAATGAAGAGTATCTTTCTTAATTGATCTTTATCTCACTCTTAATGAAGAGTATTTTTCTTAATTGATCTTAATATTCTCCCCCTAATTTCGAGAACTATTCAGAAAACTTGTGAACGAGGAGACACTTATAACTTACTTCATTCACATTATTATGTTATGTAAACAAAGTTATTTATTGATCCGTTTAGGAGTACACTTTCCTTATTCCACTTCAAGAACACAATGAGGTCTTTTATTAACTATACTTTTACAAGTCACGTTTGCATCTTTTCCTTGTCTTTTGATTAGTATTGACCATGACGGTGCATTTCTATTTGTGTCATGGTCAATATTAGGATACCATAAGAACTACCCAAACTTCTCTCGCTATGCGGGATAAAAAAAATATGATTCATCACAAAACTTCTCCCGCCATACAGGATTGACTAGCATAAATACTATGCCAAACTTCTACCATGCGGGATACATCTATATACAACTTGCCATAACGAAAACTTATTCATTACGACTAAAACATTCACTTATACTTCATTTTCCAATTAAATCTCCCCGTTGATTCAAATTTAATCAGAAAATTAGTAAATAGTCCTGAACTGGTTTAACTCAAGTCTTTTCATTCACATACCCAGCATTACAGCCCGTTGGCATGCAGCCGAGTGATCTCATCAAATTAAAACATACAAGGTGCTTCTACATCAATTCTACATCACCGTTGGACAGAAAATAGAATTAATGCATAAAATTAACTTGAAAGATATACAACTACTCTTCAAAATTAAATTCTCTCATTGGTTCGAATTTAATTAGAAGATAATCAATATCATTACAGCGGAAACACAATAATAAAATACATTCTATTTGTTCAGGAGCATTAATTTCTTGGTTTTTATCTACTCTCTGAAAATTGACCATGTTGGTGTAAAAGTTATCAGATATTTAAACTTTAAACTTAAACTCATTATAAAATTGTTATCATTAACGTTGGCTAGAAAATAACAATACCATAATTTAACATAAACAAATCGGACTACTCCTCTAATTTAAATTTTCCCATTGATTTCAATTTAATTAGAGGATAAAAATAATCATAATTTACTAAATGTAACTACTCTTCAAATTAAATTCTCCTGTTGGTTCGAATTTAATTAGAAGATAATCAACATTAAACTTTGCAGCGGAAACATAAAAAATATAATTTATGTACTTTTCAGAAGCATTTTACTATACTCATCTACTCTCCGAAAAAATTGTCCCGTTGGTTCAAATTTTGACAGAGATTTAAACTGGACAAAAATCATCAAAATTTGCTTCTGAAAATAATAAAACATTTCGTAATCTTTACTGTGCATATAGCCTGGCGCATCACTATTACGTGTTCGCGCGCACGGCCCAGCGACGAAAACGTGGCCCAGCGGCCTGCTTCCCCGTCGCGCGAGCCCGCTCCTCCGTGCCTAGGCCGCAACTTGGGCCTGGGCTGGGAATCCGTTGCCCCACCTAGGCCAAATGTTGGCCCGAGCAGTCTCGGTCGTTGATCTCGATCGAACGGCAGGACGTGAATCTCGGCGAGAGAAAACCCCCGGCCGGCGGATCTCCCCAAACCCTAATTTCATTCTGTTCTTTCTCTCCCCCGTCTCCTCTCCTCAGCTCCACGCCGACTGACTATCTCTCCTTTCTCACCCAGCAACATGGCGGTCGGAGATGGCGGTGCAGCCGTCGGTCCCCTCGCCGGTGCGCGCCCACCATAAGGTGACACGCCACCGTCGAGCGGTCTAGCGATGGTGCCTTGAGCGCATGTGCACGGCTCCTCGAAACCCTAGAGCTCATTCTTTCCTCTGCTTCTCTCTCTTCGCCGCACTGCACATGGACTGCTTCGGGATGGGCGTGACGTGTGTGGCCAGAGCCGTGCGTGACGTCGTCGAGCGGCACCGTGGTGGTGCCCTTTGGGCATCGAGCGGCACCGTGGTGGTGCCCTTTGGGGCCCCGTGCAACGATGATGGATCTCTTCCCATGCGACGGCGGTGGTGACGGCAGTAAGGAGACCAGGTAGGTTCTTCCTCCCCTTCTCTATCCGTTCCCCTACTCTAGGGTTAGGGTTCGGTGGATTCTTCTTGCGTCTGCGGCGGCTCAGGGTGCACTTCCCGCGCGGCGTCGAGGCGACGGCTGGCGGTGGTGATCTAGGGTTAGGGTTTGGGAATCTGTCCACTCTTTCTAATTTCTTTAGACTTTTCTACCCAGTCTAGATCTACACACTAGAACCTGGCTCTGATACAATTGATAGAACTAATAGTATCATCTAGGCATAGATCTAGCGGGTAGAACTTGACTTAGGCATAAAGAGCTTGTTGATGTTGTACCTCATCTCGAGTCTCTAGTCACGGCCATGGCGCCGGCGACGAAGTAGCAACAGTGTGGGCCTGGTCTGGTGACGGGGGTGAAGGCGATGGCGCTTCCCATCGCTCACAGCGTGCCCTCATGATCGGTCTAGGGTTAGGACATCGGTGGGGCACTGTCGGCTGTAGCGAACCTCGTCCCTTTTTCCCCGGCCCCCACCATCACTTTTATAGCGCTGTGCGACGAGGGCCCATCAGCTAGGATAACGGCTGGGCGTCCCAGCTCAGGACGCGGATCAAGGGTCCAATTGGTCATTAGGCCAACTGATGGAGATCAATCTAACATCGCCACCTTTCAAGCGCATAACATTGGCACTAGCCTCCGCAAAGCTTTGTCCTGTTCATTTGGCTGATAAGCCATGGCTGAAAGTACTATCGGCTGATTTATTGTGAGAGAAAAATACTGTTCGTTGGCTGAAAAAGTATGGCTTATAAGCCAAAGGTGCTTAGCAGCAGCTCGTGAATGTCCTCCTACATTGCATCAAACAGCCATGAAACATACAAATTACCAACAAGGGGAAGGAAAGGGACAAAGTCCTAAGCCGAGGTCGCCTCAATTCTCTGTTATTTTTTCCCCAGACAGACATATGTCAAGCTCTGTTTTTCTTCATGGAAGTTGTCTGACACGTTCTCAAGAAAAAGTACTTGAAATCGTTATTGCGGAATGCCCGCCCAATTAGCATTTCCAATCGCGTGTAAACCTCAATTGATCCAAATCGAAACGAAAGGATAGTGTTCCCACCTGGGTGCGGCTGTGGTATCCCGCCGTCTTGCCGACATAGAGCAGCCTGGCGCCCTCCCCGACCAAGTCCAACACGTCGTTAGACACCAGCCTATCGTAGAGCACCAGGTCCGCCGCCTCGATGGCCCGGACTGCCTTGACCGTGAGCAGCTCAGGGTCCCTAGGCCCTGTACCCACCATTGCCAGCCTCTCGGGTCCACCGCCGCCGTCTCCCCCCTCGGCGCCCCTCCCCCTGGACGCCCTCAGTGCGTCCAGGAGCCTCCGCAGCTCCTGCAGCTGCAGCGCGATCTCGTCTTCCCGGCGGCCCGCTGCCGCCGTAGCAGCAGCGGCAGCGTCAGAGGACGGGGATGCTGAGTTGGAGGAGCCATCGGCGGCGTAGGACTAGGCGTTATGGCGGTAGCGTGAGGAGGAGGTGGCCTCGATGAAGGGCGAGGCGCGGACGGCGGCGCCGGCACAGGTGTGGGGCCTCGCGTTCGCGGCGGCGAGGGAGGTCGAGGCGGGTGTTGCGGGCGCAGAAATGGAGGCCGGTCGAGGCTGGAAGCGGGGCGTGCGAACGGCGAGAGCCATGGCGATGCGGGGCAGCGGATGGCTTCGCCGCCGCTGGTGGTGCGCATTTTATAGGGGGGAGGCGGGAAGCTGACCAGGACCAGCTGACACCCTTTTTTTCTGTCCGCGAAGGGGTGGAGGGAAAGCGCAAGGAGGGCAGGATGAAAGGGCTTCTCTGGGCAGGACCCCAGAAGGAGGACTATGGGAGTGTGCCTCTGCCCTTAGCTGTCTGTCCTACGGGGATACACAAGGGCATGGGTCAGGTATGAGATAAGTTGGGGAGTTGTGCCGCATCCGTGGTAACTAGGTGTCGGTGATCTGCCAGATCTATGGTCCATGGTAATATCTAGGAAAGCAACGGAAGCAAAGTCAGCGATCTCGGGTTGAATGGCTCAAGAATGGCGATTGTAACACCTCTTTCTTTCAAGCTCATTCAAATGAGAGGGCAAGAACTAACTGAATCAACGCTCTGAGAAGGGAAGAAGGCTCCGTCGTGAGTTAGAGGTGCTTCATCCGGGACCAATTCTTGACTGCGTCCCAGTAAAGGTCACGATAGGGATGAACGATCTCCTACTGCAACCTTTCACCGCTGAGGAGATACATGCGGTGGTGTTCATGATGGGTGCCAACATGGCCCCAGGGCCAGATGGGCTAACAACGGGTTTCTACCAATTCCATTGGGAGACTTTGGGACCAAGTGTTACAGCGGCGGTTTTGAATTTTCTGAATGGAGGTGTCATGCCAGAGTCGGTTAACAGCACCACCATAGTGCTAATACTGAAAGTGAAGAATCCACATGAGATGAAACAGTTCAGAAGAATCGCTCTTTGCAATGTGATTTATAATATTTGCTCGAAAGTGCTGGCCAACAGGTTACGAGGCCGTCTAGATGACACTGTATGCGAGGAACAAAGTGCCTTTGTTCCGGGCCGATTAATAATAGACAATGTACTTGTGGCATATCAACGTATACCCATTATCTGCAGAGAAAGAAAGGCAAATCCGGTGCATGTGCAGTGAAGCTTGACATGGCCAAGGTGTATGACCTTGTTGAATGGGATTATCTCCGGGGTATTATGCTGAAATTGCGGTTTCATGAAGCTTTTATTACACTAGTGACGAGGTGCATGACACCAGTGTCCTTTACAATTAAAAGTTAATGGCTCGCTATCAAATGTCTTCAGGCCAACAAGAGGAATTTGACAGGGGGACCCCATATCACCGTATTCACTACTGGACTCGCATGCTTTTGCCGAGGGCTGCCCTCGGCAAAGACCCCTCGAGGAATTTTTAGACGGCGAAGGGATCTTTGCCGAGGGCCCTTTATCGGGCACTCGGCAAAGAAAAGAAGCCGTCACGCGCCGGCGCCGTTGGCGGTTTCTTTGCCGAGGGCCGACCCTCGGCAAAGAAATGGTTTTTTTTTGAATTTTTTTTGCCGAGGGCCGGCCCTTGGCAAATATTTTTTTTTTTTTTAAAAAACCTTTGCCGAGGGCCTCCTCCCTAGCCCTCGACAAAGAAATTTTCAGAATTTTTCCCAAAAAAATCTTTGCCGAGGGCTATTGCCAGTGCCCTCGGCAAAGGTTTTTTTTAAAAAAAAATTGTTTGCTGAGGGCCGGCCCTCGGCAAAGAAATAGTTTTTTTTTGAATTTTTTTAAAACCTTTGCCGAGGGCCTGCTTCCTGACCCTCGGCAAAGAAATTTTCAGGATTTTTCCCAAAAAAATCTTTGCTGAGGGCTATTGCTAGGGCCCTCGGCAAAGGACCCTTCTTTGCGGAGGGCCTTGGTCATTGCCCTCGGCAAAGAGGCAGAAATTTAATTTTTTTTGTTTTTTTGCATTCCATCGACACAAGCATTTCATATATATACATATATATATCACATAGATCCCATTTTCTCACAATATATCACAACCATAATTGTGAACCACAAATCACAATATATTACAACGACAAGTCACATGTTCATCATCATTCACATGTTTATTACGATAAGTTAATGAAATCCAAGCACAAGTCACAACCATAAATCACAAATCACGCTAAAGTCCAACCACATCACCTAGCACAAGTCCTCATCGAGCTAGCCTATGAGACGATGGTGAAGGAAAAGTAGGATCACCCGGTGACGCACTAGCGGGTTGATTGGAACCCGCGGACGGAAGCTGCACAAAGGGCGAGATTATTAAAGCTTGTTGGTTTGGTGGTTCGTATCGTTCTTTGGTTCGTTTACGTGAGAGAGTGGTATCTTTGGCTGGTTCATTGCTACAATAGCCATGGGAGGGGCTACTTGATGATTGACCAATGAACAAGCGGTACATGTGTGAGTAATCCGGGAAAACAGTTTTGGAACTTAGAGATTGCATCCAGTAATCTAGGAATACAAAAAGATTAGACTCAATTGAAAATTTCGGCAGCACCTCCCCTACACGGGGAGGTTTCCAAAACCTGTAAGAAACGACGGCACGAACGCCGACATCCACAACGGCACGAACGCCGACATCCACAACGGCACGAAGGCCGACATTCATACTTTCATCCGACTATTTGTGGTTTTTCGTTTGGGCCGAATCTGCTCGTAACTTGTTGTGTGGAAGCGATATCCGTTCACGTCATAGCCGCTAAATGACTTCACCCTAACGTCACAGCCGTTTGCAACCTGTTTCAACTCGTCACTCATGGACGAATCGGTCTGGGCCTGCAAGGTGAAGCATGATAGATCGTTATATTAATCAAACGTGATATCACCTTGGACGATCGAACATACGAGCTAAATTGGACATTACCTTTTGTTTTAACCAAAAAATAAAATTAGGCCTCCCCGCTCCCGCACCCCGCGAAACAAGGGTGTCTTGTTCATGCGAGGTAGGATCCCTTGATTGATGCCAGAATTCACGAAACAAATTCCCTGTTCGAACGAGAATCAATGGGGTTGGATGCAGAATAGTGACGACATATTAAAATAAGTTCGTTGAGAACTTACTTGATGAACGGCTGCACCTCGGTAAGGTTATTCAACACATATAACATGATACTACGTCACTCTTCATTTCCCAATAGATTTGGGGTTGATCCACTTGCGCTGCCGAATTGGCTTTGGAAAAGGCTCAGGGTCGATTCATTTTCGCCAGTATTGCAATAAGGGGTGGATTATGATTGCTAGGAAGGTTCGGCTTGTAGTATAGCGTTGTGAAGTTTGCCACCTCCTCCCGAAGGCATGCCTCTGTAATGGAAGCATCAATTATGGCTTTATTTGTACATTTTTTGCGAAGAGTCTTTAGACATCTCTCGATTGGATAGCACCAACGGGCCTGCACGGCCCCCCCCAAACGTGCCTCGGACGGGAGGTGCACAATCAGATGTTGCATCGGCAAGAAGAAGCCGGGTGGAAAGATCTTCTCCAGCTTATAGAGCAACACAGGTGCCGCTTTTTCCAAGTCCTGAGAGACAGTCCAAGATATCTCCTTGGCACAAAGCTGGCGGAAGAAAAAGCTCAACTCTGCCAGCACTTGCCAGACATGCTCAGGGACATAGCCTCGGACCATCGCCGGAAGAAGCCGCTCAATCCATATGTGGTAGTCATGACTCTTCATCCCGTTGACTCGTAGAGTGCCTAAGTTCACTCCCCTGCTAAGATTCGCTGCATATCCATCTGGAAACATTAACATCTGGATCTATTTTAGTACCTCCCTCCTTTGATCGATTTGCAAGACGAAATTGACCTTAGGCCTTTTCTAGTTCTTGTTTCGGCCACTAGGAGGTTGCATCGCTTGATTCGGTCTATCGCACAACGTCGCTAGGTCCACTCTAGCCTTAACATTGTCCTTAGACTTGTCAGTGTCCATGAGAGTTCCCCAAAGTGCCTCGGCGATATTCTTTTCAGTGTGCATTACATCAATGTTATGTGGCAGAAGGTCATCGAAATAGGGGAGCCTCATCAAGCCGGATTTATGAGTCCACATATGTTCCTCACCATATCACACAAAACCACCTTCTTCATTGGGCACGAGAGCATCTATCTGAACACGAACCTCGGCACCAGTCCTCAAGTGTGGTTTAGGGTCTGTCACTTTGACACCTTTCGTAAAGCTCTTGATGTCTTCTCTAAATTCATGGTCTAGAGGGAGGAACTAACGATGCTGGTCGAACGATGAATACTTGCCACCCTTCTTCAACCAAATGAACCTCACGGCTTCCTTGCATACTGGGCATGAAAACTTCCCGTGAACACACCAGGCGGCGAATAACCCATACGCCAGGAAGTCATGCAGGGAGTAGTGGTACCAAACGTGCATTTTGAAGCTTGTCTTTGTAGCTCGATCGTATGTCCATACCCCCTTCTCCCAAGCGTGGATCGATTTATCAATCACAGGCTCCATGAACACACCCATATTACTCCCCGGGTGTCCAGGAATTATCAACGACAAGAATATGTTATGCCGTTGAAAGGAGATGCCGGGAGGGAGATTAAGGGGGATAACAAAAATGGGCCAGCATGTGTATGGGGCAGCCATCATTCCATAAGGATTGAACCCATACATTGCCGGTTGCGACCCATACATTACGAGCCTCAGCTGCTTTGTCACGATGTTTGTCATTGAAATACGTCCATGCTTCAGCATCAGACGGATGTACCATC